AGTACTGCCTAATTCTAGAATCTCAAATAAAGCCAACCATGATCTTCAAACTAAATTTGTTAAAATTTTGTCTTTTGATAGTCCTAAATCTATTTCTGAACAAAACTGCTCAGAAATAACCAAATTAACGAAAGTGAACCAAAACATTAAACAAAAGACTGGAAATTACCAACCCAAATTGCCCTCTTAAAAAGAAAATTGAGGCCAGGCATGGGGCTTATGCCTATAATGCTAACACTCTGGGAGACCAAGGTGAGGAGTACTTGAGGCCAGGGGTTCAAGATCAGCTTAAGCAACATAGTGAAATCTCATCTGTACAAAAAAATTTTAAAAATCAGCTGAGCTTAGTGGAATGCACCTGTAATCATAGCTACTAGGGAGGCTAAGGTAGAACGATCAGTTGAGCTCAGGAGTTGGAGGCTGCACTGAGCCATGATCATGCCATTGCCTGGGTGATAGAGACTCCAACTCAAAAAAATACATTGCCGTTGGTTTTCATTGATAATTATTTATAATTTCTCCTCAAGAAGACTGTTTGCCACTCCTTCTTTAGGTTTGAGTCATATATCTAGTCCTGTTTAAGGATGTGTCAAATTCACTGGGTTACCATATATAATTAACATGACTGTAGGAATGCTACAATAAAGCAAATAAAAATGCTATTAATAACATTTCTTAAAGCAGAATTTATTGAGAGGACAGAAAAGCTCCCACAGCGAGAGGGGACCCGAAGAGGTGGCCCACTATTAATAACTTAAAATATGGCCGAGTGTGGTAGCTCACGCCTATAATCATGCACTTTGGAAGGCCAAGGTAAGAGGACTGCCTGAGCCCACGGGTTCAAGACCAGCCTGGGCAACTTGGCGAGACCTCATCTCTACAATTAAAAAAAAAAAAAAATTAACCAGGCATGGTGGCACATGCCTGTAGTTCCAGCTACTTGGAAGGCTGAAGTGGAAGGATTGCTTGAGCCCAGCACGTCGAGGCTGCAGTGGCCGTGAGCGTGCCACTGCACTCCAGCCTGGGTAACAGAGTGAGACTCTGACTTCAAAAAAACAAAAAATAAAAATAACTTAAAATAAGGGTTAGCATCCATGGTTAGAACAGCATAATATAAAAAAGTGCTTAAGACACCAGTCCAAGTTAATCAGTAGCTAGAAAATTAAGACAAAATCTTTTCTTAAATGTTAAAACAAATGAAAATTAAAAGGGAAAATGAGGCATTAATGAGCTATAAAAGAAAGTAATAACAATCTGGTTTACAACTAAGACTGAACTGGTGATTTCCCAGGTCAAGCAGTGTTGTTTATACTGGACTGCAGTACCACCAAGTGGCAGGAGGACACACTGCAATGCTAGGATTGCTAAGTGAACACTTTCAACATTTAAAGATGGCAACTACAGCCAGGCTCGGTGGCTCAGCCTGTAATCCCGTGTTTTGGGAGGCTAAGGTGAGAGGAATGCCTGAGCCCGCGGATTCGAGACCTGCCTGGGCAACTTGGCGACCTGCCTGGGCAACTTGGCGAGACCTTATCTCTACAATAAATCAAAAATTAGCCAGGCATGGCAGCGCGCGCCTGTAGTTCCAGCTA